TTTAGGGAGCAGATGGGGGTTAAGGGCATTGCTCATGGGCCCAGGGTGAGGCGAGTTAGGGTGTGGGTGCTTCACCTACTCCACCCACATTTTTTTACATTGTCGGTGCCCGGGCTTGAACCGGTGTTCACAGGCCCACCTTCTTTAGCCTCTGCGCCACCACAAAAAAAAAAAATCTTTTTTTTTCAGTTGAATTCAATGTTTTCTAAAATAAGCTTTTAATGTTAAAATACCATGTGTTAATTGTTTCTCCAGAAAGAAGAAATTATTTTTCTATTCTAAACTCATCTAAAAAGTGAAACTACAAAGTATAATGTTTAAGATATTTTTTGTTTAACGTTAGTTTTATTTCCTGCAGGTGGAAAAGCCCGACGAGACCATTTAAGACTGGTGTTAATTGGTGCCCAGTACGCAGCCAAAAGCTCTGCAGGCAACACCATTCTGGGGAAAAATGCATTTGATGTAAATAATGGTGGCAAAAGAAAGATATTCTGTGAAATAAGTCACAGTGTGGTCGCAGACAGGAGACTGACGGTGGTTGATTCTCCTGGATGGTTCCGCCCTCTGAGCCTTCAGGACACCAGTGAGATGGACAAACTTGAAATAGAGAGCAGCATGAATCTGTGTTCTCCAGGACCACATGCAGTGCTGCTTGTGATTCCTGTGGCAACAGCAATCAATCCCTCATATCTGAGATCTGTTCAGGAACACATGAGTCTGTTCAGAAAAGAAATCTGGAAACACACCGTTGTTCTGCTCACCAGAGGAGACTGGCTCGGAGTGAAGACTGTGGAGGAGCGTATAGAGAGTGAGGAGGGTCTGCAGTGGATCATGAACAAGTGTGAGAACAGGTATCATGTCCTGAACAACAAGGACCGTGGTGATAACTCTCAGGTAAAGGAGCTCCTGGAGAAGATTGAAGAGATGTGTGCAGGAAATGAAAATCCTTACTACGAGGTCGACCTGAGCCGAGCAACAGAACTAGAAGCCAAGAAAGAAGCTGGAGACAAGAAGGCCAGAAGGATAAAGAAGATAACTGGGAGACAGGCGAGAGTTCTGAAAGAGCTGTATGGAGGTAAGTTACATGAAACCATTTTGAAATAGTTATGTGCTGTATTGCTTTTATAGAGAGAAAAAAAAACTTTCCATAATTTTCACAGACACAAGACAGTCAATCACTGACATGAAGATCGTGCTTGTTGGACAAAAATGTTCAGGAAAGAGTACGGCAGGAAATATGATCCTTTTAAATGAAAAATTCAACATCAGTTTTTACATCAGTCCGCTGCAGAAGGTAATCCAACATGCTGCCCGTACAGATTTACCAGATTAGTTGTCAGTAATCTGCGCTTCATGTCATAGTTTCTGTTTTGCGTCTTTGTAGGACGTCCAGGATCAGAGAAGAACTGCAACCTGTGTGAAGCATGAAGGACAGTTTGATGAAGTGAAGGTGACGGTTGTAGAAACACCAGGCTGGTTCAGAGACTCCACACCGCCTGACTGGATCAAAGATGAAGTTTCCCACAGTGTCTCCATGTGTGCTCGGGGGCCTCATGTCTTTCTCCTGGTTGTTCCCGTCCTCAGATCATTTACAGAGAAAGATCTCCAAGATCTGGTCGAGGTCTTGAAGTGCTTTACAGAGAGAGTGTGGAGACACTGCATGGTGCTGTTTACCTGGGGAGACTGGATCAATGAACGGCCTGTTGAGGACTACATCACCAGAGAGGGCAGATACATCCAGGAGCTTTTGGAAAAGTGTGGAAACAGATACCATGTTCTCAATGGCTTTCACTTTGGAGATCCTGTTCAAGTTAAAGAGCTGTTTCAGAAAATTATTGACTTGGTAACACAAAACAAGGGACGCTTCGCAACTAAAGGCAAACAAAACAAATTTCAAATTTTACCTTGGCAAAAAGGAATGATAGAAGAGGAATGGAAGAGGAGGGAGCAGCAGCTGGTTGAGAGAATGATGAAAGCTTTGGAGAAAGAACCAGAAGAACAAACTGTTCCTTCTGTGAGGATTGAATGTAGCATGGATGACCGACCTGACTGTAAGTTTATTATGAAGTAGAGTCAACATTAGTTTACTCATAGTCGTTATTTTAATAAATGACGCTTCTTTTGTTTCAGTGAGCGGAGATATTGCCTCAGAAATTGGGACCGTTTCCGATTTCAGGAACCAACGAGCTCATGACCAAGTCTCTGAATGGCTGATGAACAGTGTTAGACCGCCTAAGATCTCCTCTGGCATCAGCAGTGTTTGTTCCTCAGCAGCTTATATGGAAAGTTTTGACGAAGTTCCATTAATTGATAAAAATAAGCCAACAACTAGTTCTTTCCTAGAGAAGAGTGAAGTTGTTTCTCGTCAAATGAGCTTCTTCTCAAACGCTGCAAAGATGCAGCGCAGGGCCTCTTGTTAGGCAAAGCAGATGAGGAATTTAAAACAATAATGGAATTAAAGCGACACACAGGACACAACAATTCTAATGTAAAAAAAAAGAGAAGCAAACAGATTTTTTTGATTTCTGAACATTATTTTGGATCTTTTAACAAACACTGCAGAGATGATCATACAGTCTGCTCATTTTTTTCTAATTATCACATTTTAATCCTTTAAGAGTTTTGTAAAAACTGAGACTATTCTTTTGTTTTAGTAATGAGTGAAGTGTACAAATGTTCTACTACAGTTGGACTTTTTCATCACTAGGTCGTCCTGTTGATCCTCACATTATTCAGACAAGTCTAAACATAGATCAAGTATTTAAATATATTTTAAAAAGTTATTCTAACGCAACACATTTGTTGATAATTCTGTTTAATGACACGTTTCCCCCACCTAATGCTGTGTTTTATTGAGGGAATGTAGATGGGGTAGAGGTTGTATGGCAAGCCCTTTAAACATAAAATCAGATTCACCACGCTTACATTCCAAATATCTGAAACTGAGTTATGACTAGACATATTAGTTATTTAAGATATCTTTAATTATATTTTGACTAGTCAAAATACTTATTTGAGTTATCTCTAATTACATTCTGATTAGTGTAAATGACGTCAGATTTACCATTGAGTTGTATGGAGGCTTCAATTCAAGATGAATAAACTGAATTTTGACTAGTCACAAATACAGTTCTAGATATCTCTAAGTTAATTTTGACTAGTCATTATTTTCTTTCAAGATATCTTCCTTTTAGTTCTGACTAGTCATAATTACGTTCGAGATATCTTGAATTGTAATTACGGATGTTTGACCCTTCAAATGACGAATCAGGTGACGTCATTTAAGATATACTGAATTACATTTTGACTAGTCAAAATTCCTTTTAAGATATCTTGAATTGTTATTCTGACTAGTCAGAATGTAAATACAGATATCTTAAATTAGCATTCTGACTAGTCAGAATGTAATTGTTCCTAGTCAAAATTCAATTTTAGATATCTAGAATGGAACTACAGATAGTCAGGCTACTCGATTTTATGTTAAAAGGGCTTGCCATACACTCAAATCCCCAGTCACTGCACATCTTGTCGTGGCTCCAGCACAGACACCCCCAACAGCCCATCACACCACCCAGGGGCAGATAACACAGAAAGCCAACCTCACCATTGCATGGGGACATACAATGATAACACATTATTATTATTATTATTATTATATGCATGAACCATGCTCTGTTATTTAACTATATTAATATAGACTTTATAACGTGTTCCTTTACTATGAATTATATATTTCTATGATTCTTTCTGTATTTTATGATCATTTTTTATGTGACTATCAGTAGGAGACAGCAGAGAAGTCATCTTTTATCATGTTGGAGACTTTTGAATGTTATGCTAGACACAGTGATTTATTCCCTGTAAGAATCATAAAGACACGTTAACCTCCAGCAGCTCCCTGTATGTGCTGCTGATGTTGTGAAAAACACTAGGACCAGGCGAAGGGGATGGGGATGGGCAGGCTCAAAAGGAGTTTTCTACAAACCTAACCTTTTCATTTCGGGTCAGAAACACAGACGAGGCAAGACACGAGTAAGTTCTGTTTGTAATATGTTGACCCTCTGTGAGTTATTGGCTGTTCTCCAAAGCTTTGTATTAAATTTGATGAAGTCTACACCTGATCATTTGTCTATCCGTTTTTTCCACAAGTACTTGAATGCGGCTTAAACATCTGATCCCAAATGATTCAAATTTATACTTTGAGCCGATTTATTAAACTTCTCATTACTCATGTTCACTGTTAATATTTTGTCCTCTGATGATTATTAAATCATAAACATTTGACTCAACGTGCCTGTTTTACCATAAACTGTGTTTTCTACTGTTTCTAGATGTTTTAGTTACTAGATAAAGTTACTAGATAAAACTGTGTCAGAGTGTAGTTAGAAAATCCCCCACCCACATTGATCTTTAGCCACAAAGGCTATACATAATGTTATATACAAATTATGCTTTCTTGAACCTTCAAGAAAATAAATATGGACAACGAGAAGCGAATATAATGTTAAAAACTTCTTTATTTTATATCTTTAAAATTAAAAACATCTGATTTGCATTCTACCTCCAAAGGCACAGTCATACTTATAGCAGACCAAATTCATAAAACACTGCCACTAAACATCTTTTGTTTTCTTTCCTCCGTTTGTTTTGTACTTTAGAAACAACACACTATAAAAAAATGACTAAACATGTTTACTGGTTAAACCATGTTGATCATAGAAAGACTGGAGTGATGATGTGTAACCAACTGGACGAGCTTTGAACTCCATTTTCTAGGATAATGTGCTGGTTTGAAGCTGCTGACGCCTGCTGGAAGCATGCAGCTGCTCAGAGACAACGCATAAAACAATTCAGAATGAGATGTTTACACTAACCAATTCTCATGACGAGTGTTCAAGAATGAGGATGTTCGAAGCAAAACAAAGCCGTTAGGAGGGGGAGAGGGGCTGGAGCGCAGTGAGATGGAGGTGGTGGACCGTGCAGACAAAGCTGTCAGGTTTCACACATCTCACCAAATTCTCTGAACTGCGCCAAGCGATACGAGATATTTGCACGTCATCCGACACCTCCACCTCACTTCAAAGAAAACGAAAACCATTTCAGACAACTCCGCCATGAGTCGACGTGTGCAAAGAGGCTGGGCCTGGGCCTGTTTGTGGGAAAGTCGTCAGGTTTGAAACAGGATCGATAACTGAGTGTACAGTCACAAATCAATAATGTACACAAAGGTTGCTTACAATGTGTGACCACACAGCACCATACACAGCACAAGAGGTTCACTTCGTGACAACAAAAGGTCAAAAAGGTGGTTAAATTTACAATAGAATATATCAACGTTCTCACTCAGGCGCAGGCCTCTGAAAAACAAGCAGAACTTTACAAATCACAAGAAGCTGGGATCAAAGGAAACCGGTTTGGCACACGTGGAGAAACATTTTGGAAAAAAGGCAAGAAAATAACGTCTCAAAGGAAAACGAGGCCACAGAGGAAGTAAAAAAAAAAAAAAAAAGGACGGGATTAAAGCACTTTAAACATAAAACAGAACACATACAGTACCTCTCTCATGAAATCACGTGTTCAGTAAATCAGTGAGGATTTTTGCAGCAACTAACGAGTCCCTTTTCCACAACCAAAGCTGTTTTTTTTTTTGTTGTTGTTTACAAGTGTGTAGAAGCTGCAGCAGGCACTCCAAAAACACGTTGTTTTCCTTTACAGGCAAATAAAATCAAAGAGGGCTTCTGCACACCTCCCAAATCAAACATTTATAAGAAAATATCTACAGAAACACTTTGCATGACTCAGTCACACAACCACGGAAACACACGAATCAGCGCCCAGGATAAACAGCAGAGTGGTGCGCACACACAAAGCTTCCCTCTGTGTGTCGTCTTTCACCACTAATCACTTAACAAATGAGTAACAACTAAATGTAAGCTCCAGTTTACGCCCTCCCTGTAGAAGTTACCTCTGTACACACATTGCAGCATTTAAAGACCACCTACATATGGCAGTGAAAACCTCAGGAGGGTCTTATTTCATTGTGAGGCAACAGGTTGCAAAATAATGACGTAAAATAAACATGCCTGGCTTTAGTTCTTTTTTACAGAATTATACAACTGAGGGTTAAGATGTTTTGTGGTTCTCTTTGTTTTTAGAAGCCACGCCCTATTTTAACAACAGTGACGGTGGGATAGATGAAGGTGGTTGTGCCATCCAGGCAGCAGCAGTTAATGACCGAGTGTGTTCAGACTGCATGTGCTTCCACAACAGTACACGGCGAGTGTTCACAAACATCGACAAGATCTATTTACAGATATCAAATGTATAAATAAGTGTTTTTTGTTTACATCTGTGTGTGAGATGAATATTAGCAGCACACGTGTGTCACTGGTTAGTTGTCAGCTGAGCCGGTGGTGAAGAGGACTCGCTGATCAGTTCTGGCTAACTTAGCAGGCGGCTCCAGAGACTCCTCCCCGAGCCCGGCCTCGTCGGAGGGAAGAGACAGCTCCTGACCCTCTTCCTCGCTCTCCTCTTCTTCTTCCTCTTCTTCTTCTGTGGTTGGAAAATGGAGATGGTTATGGCTAAGTGAGGGTAGTCAGTGTTGATGATCAAGCAGAAACAAAAGCACAAACCTTTGTCAGGATCCAGCGTGTTCAGACCTCGACCTAAACTGGCAAACTAACGGCAGGAGGAAACGAGATTAAAAACGGCTTCAGTTATTGCAGTGATTGTGTTTGTGTCAGTGTGTGCGGTTACTGATACCTCTCCCATAACAGCAATGGGAGTCTCTCCTTTAGCCTGGGCCACTCTGTGCTCTATAAGGTAGTACATGTACTCATCGTACAGAAGACGGATCAGGTGAAAGGAACCAAAACTGGCTGCGCTCCGCAGGGTCAGGTCTCGGATCACCATGGAACTGAAGAGCACGGATAGAAAGAAAAACCTGTTATAGCAATTCTCTCAATAAAAATAGGAAGTAGTACGTTTCAGTGTGTTACTGTGACACATCCATTGTATAATGTCCTCATTTCTACATCCTCAGTTTCTATTCTCAGCTTCTGTCTTAATGTATCAAACATCAGGATTGTGAGCAGAGAACAACAGACTGGAGGTAAGAGGAAGTGAGGTGAGAGACATCCATCAAACTGAGCAACAGAGTTGGATTAACAGAAAAGTGTTCATAATTAGATCCATATTTACTTAATAATCAGTTTACAATATGAGAATGTGTCATGTTTTCTTTAGACAACAGATGCTATTTGGACAAGCATTAATGATACACACGCCCTCCTCATAGCTCCTGCAGCCTCCTGTCACTTCAAGTGCATGCTACAAAGTGAGACATTCATCTAAATATTTTTGAAGACTGATTGCTGGGTCACAGGCAGGAAGAGGGAGATCAGGAAAAACAAATTAAATATGGTGAGGCTCGACTCCAGTGCATTTGTACTTGTTGATTTTTTTTTACAGCAACTACTTTCTCACACAACTGAGTCCATTTTCAAAATGCCTTTAAGTGTTGTCAAAAGGGCCTGGCTGCACTAACATTCTGACAAATAAGAAAATAAATTGGTTCCTATTTCTTTACATCTGTGGCAACACTCTTCAATTCAAATATACTTTATTAATCCCAGAGGGAAATTAATTATTGCTGTAGCTCATCTTGGTTTCATTAGACTGGTTCTAGATGTCTTTGGGCAGGAAGGATCTCTTGTAGCAGTCCATCCCACAGCGGATCCGAAGAAACTGGCTACAGACGTCAATCCGTCTACCCAGACCCAGCAGACCTCTCGGTCCTCTTGGGCAGCAGGACTGCCTCATTGTCGGGCAGAACTTCACCCTGAGCGATGGCCATTTCTCCCAGCAGCCTGCCACGCCCCTTGTTGCCGCAGACTTAACTGCAGGTGCCGGGGGATGATCTTGGTCCTCCCGCTGTCACAAGCTGTGTTTCCCGCTACCTCCAAGATCTCTGCAGTCAGGCACTCGAGCACTGCCTCCAGGTAGATGGGAATGCATCCACGGCACCTCCTTTTCAACTCATTTGGGATTTGGGGCTGTAGTTAAGATGTGAGCTTTTGAGATGTTAATCAGCTGCTCCCAGTTGTAGAAAACCACCCTGTTGTTATAGTTACGCATCATAACAAATGTCCAGACGTAAAAAAAGTTTCAGTAAAAATCCTGCCAGCAGCACAGCATCTGATACCAGAGGAAGTAATCATCTGAAAAAAGCGATTTGCATTCAGAAAAAAAAAGTAATTAAAATTTTCAAAAGCAAAATCTCAGAATGAATATGAGAGCTACTCCAACATGCTTCCACCTTGAGCGACGCAATTCTGGAAATTCTGGAGCAATTCTTAGAGATGTAGCGACTAAGTCTGAATTTGGTTGTTTTCAGTAGTGAGAGATTTTGAAAACTGAAACAGGTTGTTAGTGAAAAGGAACAGAAACTCCTTAAAGGAATCACTCTTTAACCACAATGACAAACTTAGCTCGACATTTCAGTGTCTAATCATGTCACACCTACTGTACATCTATAAACAGAATGTTTGATTTTTTACAAACGCTGCTCAGAATTAGGATAATTCAAATACTGATATCAAACTACCACTAGTGTTATTTAAACAAGGCACATGCTGAGCATGTGGCAAGTACACACATCTACACTGGAAGTTATTTGGTGACTGGAAAAAGCATGTAATATGTTTGTTTCACTAAATCCAACATCAACAAGAAACACAAATAGTTCAGTCTTGCTCTTTCTTGTCTTCTCCCCCTAGTTGTACCTGTAGAAGGACCACTTAAGTAGGAAGAGTTTGGCAGCTTTAGGGAAAGCAGGGCTTTGCTGGTAGGGCTTCAGGACCTGGGACACCACACCATCAAGCCATACAGCCCACTGCTCCAACGAGTTCTGCTGCTGGAGGGTCAGCTTGAAGTCCTGCTCGAGCCGCTGAACCACACGGTCTTCACACCTGCACACCCATGAAGCCTGCTCCTGCAGAGGGGGATCGGGACAAAAACATGTCAGTATCATGCAGTCATACCTGACATTGGTTTTACCTGTAGAGGACAGAAAGGTGACTTCATGTTTGCATGGAAAATCCTTTAAAAGAGACCCCAGGTTATAGTCAAATAGTATTAGTTAGGATCTAAATGAAATACTAGATTCTTTGTACCTTGAAGGAAAGTTTCTGAGAAAAAGACCAAATGTTTCCTGGTTTCAAGTTTAAAAGTACAACAGAATGATTGAAACTGGCTGCAGAACTCATACATCTAATCTCACTGAAACCACAACCTACATCAGAAATAGTTGCATTTGCACAAAAATAAAAGCTCTGCAAGACTCAACCACTGACACTAAAATTCATGTGAGACGACACACACGCATGCCCCAAAAGCACTCTTTGAGATATTAAACCAACCTGGACGTTAGCAAAGTCGACACGGTTGAGGTCAGACAGCATCTGGTTGATCTGAGCTGTGTTCTGGAGGACAGCACGGGCCGCCTGGGCGAGGTGGTTCAGACTGGTGTAGCGACGCAGCGTTTGGGCAAAAGCATTGGCTGATGTTACCTGAGAAAGAACATGGAGGTAAATTACGACTCATACTTCAAAAATACAAATAACATGATCAAAAATGTTAAATATCTTATTGTAGTATTTAAAAAAACAGAACTTGTTAATCTGACTTTTTAGTTTGGGATAAAGCTGCTTTCAGGTAGTTTGAAGAAATTATTTTGATGCTGCTTATTAAAAAAATCTTGTAAACTTCGAATAATCTAATTTTTGACATGCCGATCCAAGAACACGCTGCTCTCTCAAATACACGCTACAATAAGAGAACGGTACCTTGATGCGAACCATTTCCTCGGGGATGTTCATCATGGCGTTTGTCAGCCAGCTCTCTAGGCTTTTGGCAAAGTTTCGAATGGCTTGAGTTAAGGCACCTGGATGTTGCAAGACAGGTTAGATTTTAATAGAAATGTATTCAACATACGGTTTAGATGAAACGTCAAATTGTACAGCTGAGTTTCTAGTGGGAAAACTGGTTTTATGGTTTTATAAACAATCAAAGAAAACATCTAGTGTATCCAAATGATGTGGATGTAGACAATTATTTGACGACATTGCAGTAATATAAATAAAAAAACACTATCTGGTAATGCCAGTAATTTAGTTTCCACAGCAAAAAGTGTTTGCACAATACAGGGATGATTGATTTATTTTATTGTCAAAGGCAACATTTCAGTTCAAATGTTTCATTCAGTTAAAAAAAATCAAATGAGTGCCAACTTTCTTTTTTTTATTAAAGGGTGATCCGACAAATATTGACTTTATTTGTATTTGTTCATCATAAATATTTATCAGGAAACTACATGTCTGACAACATGATATTACTTCCTGCAGAGCCTTACTGGGGATGGGTCTGAGGACGTCAGGGATGAGGATCTCCACCAGGCTCTGGTACAGGCTGTTGTCACAGTCACGGCTCCAGCGCAGCACTGGCTCATACTTGCACAGCAACACCAAGCAGGATTTTGGGAGACGCTTCTCTGACTCATCGTGACTGTCAAGGCAAACGGTTAACAAGGCAATGATCCTGTCACTGCAGTAAGACGTTTCTATTCCATCTAGTCTGGGCAGAACCAGATTATTAAATGAACGCTAGCCTGCAGGAATAAATAACTCACACAGTCATGGTGACATCTCCAGCCTGACTTTGACTGAACCTCCAGAAGGTTTTCCACAGAGTCTCCACCAGAGTAAACTGCAGATTGACCATCACATCCACTATGGCCTGAGAAGATAAAAAAACGTCTTATGCATTAACAGCTAACAATGAATGATGACAGAAAGGCAGATTATCAAGGAACAACACTCATGATGGTGAAACTGCCATCTGGGACCCTCACCATTTGGCATCTTGATTTATTTTGGGGCTGGATGTCGTGAATATTTGAACGAGCCAGTTTATAGTTACAGAAAAGTATAATCACACAGATCAGGAAGAGTAATCCTCAATGAACACAACATAAGAACTTTAAAGAAATAAACATTTTTTTATTCTTCCCCCACCCCCCAAGTAAAATCTATAGTTTCCAGAGCTATTTTTGAACCAGCATCCATCAGTGGGATTCCACTTAAAGGCATATTTGCATTGAACTTAAGAACTAAAGAAAATAATTTAGACAATATTTGGGTTCAGGTTAGTAGAAAAAAGGTAACTGTCACAAATACAGTAAAGGCATCCTTAAGTGAGTGCAACAAACTTTTTTTCCTTTACCTCACAGTGTTCTCTGTAAAGCAGCTGAAAGCTCTTTATGTGCTCAAGTTCAATTCCCTCTGGCAGAGTCTTCCCCTGGAGATCGATGTCCGGAAACTCTGGGAGAGCTCTGGAAGCATCTGGACAAAGACAAGAATCAAATCACATTAAATCTAATGTCAATAACTCCGAGTGGCTTTACACTGATTCATCATAGAATATTGAAAAAGCTGATTATGCATATCTGTTTGGATGGGAAATAGAAGTGTCCAAAACCAAGCTTCAACATATTCAGAATATCTCATTGTTATCTAACTTAGTGTCCTCTAACATCAACCCAGGTTTTCCAACTCCTGGATTTGTGTGTGTTCATGTACAACAAGCTGTCTTTTATATATTACTGCCATAACATTAAAACATTAGTAGACCTGACCTAATCAAAAGATATTTTATTAAACTATTGTGCTACAGGTGTCAGCTGTTATTGATACAGATACACATCAAACTGAATAGGTAATACTAGTACAATACATTTAACATTAGTATAATAATCAAATAGGATGCTTAAGTTTGTAATTAACATTTGGTAAAACTCTTCATAATTTATTGAAGTTTTCACAAAATGTAACCTCACCAAGGAATTGCTGGTACTGCTGAACTTGGGTGCTGATGTCCACATGTCCTGATCCCTGCTGCTGTTGCTGCCCTGATCCAGCTGCTGTACCGTTGGTCATTCCCTCAACTTTGTGCACAGGCTTCAGTCTAATAGGAACAAAGAAAGAAGTGCATCAAGATCTAGAGAATTATGAGCAATTAAAAACGGAAACATAGTCTGAACATTGTGCAAGAGGAGATAAAATAAGATTCAATAACACAACTTATAAAGATCATGGATTCTGGAGAACAGCAAGATGGCCAAAGTGGTTTAATGATAAGAAAGATGCGTCTAAGTATGTGTTTTTGTTCATACCTCTGTTTCTGCGAGAATGGCTGCTGCCTCATGGCCAGATGTTGCTGGTCTTCCATCAGACGGAGAAGAGAAGAGCCTGCCTTAATTCTCAGCCCATAATAGTGGTATTTAGAATTACCCCTAGCAGAAGCAAATAAAATATACTATTTAGGAAAAAAATGAGAAAAAGAAGATGGTGTCATTTTTAAAAACAATAAAAAATTAAGAATGACTTTTATACACAGCACCATAGTGAGGGATATTATCTGCACATTACAAGTTATATACAAACCGGATTCCAAAAAAGTTGGGATACTAAACAAATTGTGAATAAAAACTGAATGCAATGATGTGGAGATGGCAAATGTCAATATTTTATTCGTAATATAACATAGATGACAGATCAAAAGTTTAATCTGAGTAAATGTAACATTTTAAAGGAAAAATATGTTGATTCAAAATTTCACAGTGTCAACAAATCCCAAAAAAGTTGGGAAAAGTAGCAATAAGTGGCTGGAAAAAGGAAATTGAGCATATAACGAACAGCTGGAAGACCAATTAACACTAATTAGGTCAATTGACAACACGATTGGGTATAAAAAGAGCTTCTCAGAGTGTCAGTGTCTCTCAGAAGCCAAGATGGTAAGAGGATCACCAATTCCATCATTGTTGCGCAGAAAGATAGTGCAGCAATACCAGAATGGTGTTACCCAGCGTAAAATAGCAAAGACTTTAGAGTTATATTCATCAACCGTGCATAACATCATCAAAAGATTCAGAGAATCTGGAACAATCGCTGTGCTTAAGGGTCAAGGCCATAAAACTCTACTGGATGCTCGTGATCTCCGGGCCCTTAAACGTCACTGCACCTCAAACAGGAATGCCACTGTCAAGGAAATGACAGAATGGGCTCAGGAATACTTCCAGAAAGCATTGTCAGTGAACACAATCCACTGTGCCATCCGCCATTGCCAGATGAAACTCTACAGTGCAAAGAGGAAGTCATTTCTAAGCAAGCTCCACAAGCTCAGACATTTGCACTGGGCCAGGGGTCATTTAAAATGGAGTGTGGTAAAATGGAAGACTGTTCTGTGGTCAGATGAGTCACGATTTGAAGTTCTTTATGGAACACTGGGACGCCATGTCATCCGGACCAGAGAGGACAAGGATAGCCCAAGTTGTTATCAACGCTCCGTTCAGAAGCCTGCATCACTGATGGTATGGGGTTGCATGAGCGCTTGTGGCATGGGCAGCTTGCATGTCTGGAAAGGCACCATTAATGCAGAGAACTATGTTCAGGTTCTAGAACAACATATGCTCCCATCTAGACGTCATCTCTTTCAGGGAAGACCCTGCATTTTTCAACACGATAATGCCAGACCACATTCTGCAGCAATCACAACATCATGGCTACGTAGGAGAAGGATCCAGGTACTGAAATGGCCAGACTGCAGTCCAGATCTTTCACCTATAGAGAACATTTGGTGCATCATAAAGAGGAAGGTGCGACAAAGAAGGCCCAAGACGATTGAACAATTAGAGGCCTGTATTAGACATGAATGGGAGAGCATTCCTATTTCTAAACTTGAGAAACTGGTCTCCTCTGTCCCCAGACGTCTGTTGAGTGTTGTAAGAAGAAGGGGGACGCCACACAGTGGTAAAAATGGACTTGTCCCAACTTTTTTGGGATTTGTTGACACCATGAAATTTAGAAACAACAGATTTTCCCCTTAAAATGGCACATTCTCTCAGTTTAAACTTTTGATTTGTGTTCTATTCTGAATAAAATATTAGATGTTGGCACCTCCACATCATTGCATTCAGTTTTTATTCACAATTTGTTTAGTGTCCCAACTTTATTGGAATCCGGTTTGTAAATGAGATGCCAACAGGTGCCCTATTATATATATAAATGGTCTAAAAGTTCTCTGCAGCTCAGTTTGGGTGACTGGTGTGATCTTACCGAGTGCCCAGGCGTCGTGTGCGAAGCCCCATGAACACTGATCGAATGAGTTTCCCAAAAGAGGCAGCATTGACAGGCTCAAGTTTCTGCTCCTGGCAGTGCAGCAGGTAGTGGCAGTAAAGGGTGGAACGTGGCAGACTGACTCCTTCAGCTGTCTCATAGTTGTCCAGCAACCACTGTACCTGACGCACAGGCAATTAGAAAAAGACAAGGAAATAGCTGGCGCAATTAGAAAAGTCTGCAGACATCAGGATGAAAATTCTGCTAAAAAAAATGTGAGCTTAATAACAAACATTACACATGGTCAGAATAATATAATGTACATGCATACACATTTTCTTATAAATAAATCATACAAACACAAATTCACTCATATTTACTGCTGGGTAAACAAACCATTCCAGAATGAAAACACATCTGTGTGCGTGCCGTGGCATACAACTTTGGTATGCAATGACTCAATGACCTAAAGAACTGATGGGATATCTGCTGAACATATCTTAGTTCATATTATCCTATGGGACTTAATATGATGAATTTGGGATGAACAGAATAGTGTTGAGGCATTTCAAGCAGTTTTTAAATGCCCCTCATTACATGCACTGCAATGATATGAAAATGATGAGGTCATGGTTTTGTTTTCTTTGAGGAGGAAATCACAGAAAAACGATTGTTTCTTGTCAATTTTAGCGTTATATTAGTTTATCCTCTGCTTTCTCTGCACCACATATTTAATTGTGCTTTCCACTTGACAAAACTCCACTATGACATCATCAGTGTGCGCCGTTGAAGGTTTGTGTGAATGAGAACAGAACAAGAAAAAACTCCTGCGTCTGGCACCTCTGCATACCTTCTTGTCTGCCGACGGCACGCTACTCTCCTCGCCCTCTGTAATACTCACAGTGGCTGGGGAGGCACGGGCGGTGTGTGAGTAGCTCTGACTGTTCCCAGCTGCCGCTCCATTACTGCTGCTGTTGCTGCTGCTGCTGCCACCCAGCATGTAACCCCCCTGGATCACATAGCTGCCCGCTGTGCTACCGTTAGTGCCCGCCCCCTCCTCTGAACCGTTGGTGGTACCCCCTGCGGTCACCACAGTGGCCCCTCCCCCTGCTGCACTAGTGGGTTGGGCTACAAACATGGACACACCTCCCGTGGTACCAGCAGCCACAGAGACAGTCAGAGATGAGCCAGGAGACGATGCCTGTGAGCCTGAAGTTGGCTGAGCTTCATAATACTGGCCAGCAGTGGTCTGGGTGTACAGGGGGGTCTCATTGTAAGGGAAGGTGCTGGAGCGACTGGATGAAAGACATATAAAGTTTATTATAAACAGTGGAAAATACAAGACAAATAAACTTTTTTTTTTTATATATATATATATATATATATATATGGACATTTGTTAAGAATATGATTGGAAACAATGTTATTCTAACATGGTGCTTGTAGTGTAGTTGGTGTCCCCTTCTTCCACATACTGTACTTGATTGGCATACACATGTTGCACCGGCACCGGTGTGAGCTGCTGCTGGACCTAAACAGTAATCGCACACACACACACAAATATCCAATAAATCCTTGCACACCAGAATACATTTTCTCAACTGCTCCATCAACCAAGCATCTTAACTACTTCTTTTCTACAGAAAACTTGACATTTCTCTGTTCCTACAACTCAATAGCAACACTTTCCCTCGTTTCCCTAACCTACTTGGAAAATGACACCTCTATGTGGTCTGAGCCCTCTGCAGTCCATGTAGTTTCCTGATGCCAAGGTCATATATTCAGGATATCTTGCCAGGTACTGAAGCTGCTCTTCGTCTAGTCTCCTTTCCCTGGCTAACATGAAGACGTCTGTAGAAAGGGGAAGCTAAAAAGTAGCAACATGGACAATAAATACAGTGAGCTGACTAGTTTCAAGCTAGAATGAGAGGAAGTTGTAAAAGTTGTTTTTTTTGGTCAGAGATAACCTAAACATAATCACACATTTTATGACATGAAGCTGTAATGAGTTGTTGAACTGTAAACGTTAATAAAGATTGACAACGTGGTTTTGGACACTGCCATGATGTATTTTTGAAGCCAGCATCTGTACACTTTGAACATGACAGCTGTACTGTCCCCCCTACACACACCCCTAATGTGCAAACAGGTTGACACTGTCAGTGTGTAACATGAATTTGATTTCTTAAAGCTTCAAATAACTAATTACAATTAAATTTAGAAAAAAAAAATCTAATTGAAATCTACAGCATCCAGATCATAACTATGCGACTCAACAAAAATCGACCGCTGGAAACAATGATCTGAAGTTTTTGGCCTAGAGGGGGCGCGCGCCCTTACTGGCTTCAAGTTTCGGCATTCCACTTCCGTCTCTGGTTACAATTTACCTGAATGGTTTGCACTTTACAAATTTGTGACGTGTTGGTGTGGTCTGTGTGTTTGCGACTTACGTCCTGTGTGATGTGAACAGGCTGCAGATTGGTGACACTCAGCTGTGTGCCCGGCTCTGTTTTGGTTATCTGGGAAGTGGCCTGCACCACAGACCTCTGTTGAGAAGAAGAAACTCTCAGCACAGCAAGGTTTAAAGAGCAAAATCCAAACAAGTTAGGGCTGTATTTGTGTGGGTGTACAGTATGTGTATGTTTTACCTGCTGGGCTGTCTGTACTTGCTGAACAACTTGTGTGGGAACTCCTGTCTGTACAACAGCTGGAGGTGGGCTGGAGTCTGACACGCTGTCACTTGAGTGAAGGGAACCCTCTATAAATGAAGGTGGAGTCAGTACTTTTCAGGCAAATAATTTTATTGAATCTTTTGGCCCATTTTCATTTATGTTTTGTTACTCCGATTACATCCTGTCTGTTCAACTTGTGAAATGGTTTAAATAATTAGTTTTACTTTTATTTGTGAAGGAAAATAAAACTTCAGATTAAAAAAATATATGACTTAGTAATACACAGTACTTTTTATTTTTATAGGTACATTTTGAAGGTTTCTAAAAATAAAAAAAGACAGAAAACCTTGCAATCAAATGCGTAACTCCTTCATATGTCATTATTATCCTTTAAGGACATCTCAAGACATAGGGATCTTGAGACATCCTTTACCACGTCTGATTGCCTATATTGAAGGTAATTCCCTGAAAAGAAAACTGAACTTTTTTTTTCTTGACTCTTGAAGAGAAATTGAAAAAAAAAAGGTCATTCAAAAAACCTTCTTAAGTTCTGAAAACTGAAATATACTTAAAAGTCTTTTGGACTTTTATTAAAGCGCATCTCAGTCATCCAGGCCGTGCTAATCCTAAACCTCTGTGCAAATTTTTGATTATAAAACCAGACCGTGTTGTGTTTAAGACTTTCACATGATTTATCATGAATGGTATGTTAAGTTCAGTGATTACCTGTAACTGTGACAACAATGTACTGAGGCGTGCTTTGAGCATTTCCAGATTGTGTGGGGGAACCCTGGATCTCTGCAGTCACATACTGTGCCTGAGGCGGCTGCGCCTGTGCAGCGGTTTGGGTTTGACTTGCAGCTGTGGGCTTCTGAGTGGTGAGGGAGGACGTCTGTTCAGTAGGAGTTGTTTGGCCCGAGGGTGTGACAACAGTGGGAGCGGCCACGGTAGTCTGAATCTCTGCTAAAAACTGAGGGGTAGTTGCAGAGGTGGAGGAAGCGTCAGGCTGACCTGGAGTCACAGTAACAGCAGTCCCCTGAGTTTGGACTGCTGGTGGGATCTCCCCTACGTAGGCTGAGGTGGCCATTACAAGAACTGGTAATCACCCTAGGAAAAAAAAACCACACAAGATAACCACTTCTGGTAAACAACAAAATCCTTCAAATTAGCAACATAGCTGGACTGGTATAGTTTTTTTTTTTTTTTTACTAGGCATAACTATTAAGAACAAAAAAGAAAAATGCTTAACATACAAGTAGTACTTCTTTGTTTAATTTATGTTTGAGTTATAGCCATAAAATGACACTTATTTGCCATCTTATGTTTAGAAAGTGGAAGTGCTGATGATCAACTATAAAACTAATCAGAATAAGAGGTAAGTTAAGTACCGGTACTGCTGTGGAAGACCAGTTGGTGATGCAGCTAAACTAAAAACAGGATGAGGGAGAGAAACAATTGAAGGGAGCAAGTATCCCGGTGTCTCATTACCTGTAATGTGATCATGCCACCTTTAGCCTTTCAAATCTGCTGAAAGAGTAGGGAACATCCCTTACCACATCCACTGGATGTTGCAATCCATCCTGTCTTCATGCTTTGTGTCAAACATCGAGTGACTAAAATCCTAAATATTTATAAAGCTGGCCCGTTAGACGATTAAAAGAAGGATCAATAAAATGACAGAGGAAAGGTTTCAAATCTTTTATCGCTACAAAATAGTGTAGTAGAGTGCAGAATAGTGTATTCAGTTATAAATAGTCATATTACAATCATAAATGTAGCACAAATTAGCCTTCAAAACAGGCTATAATATAGGTAGGAAAATATTACATCTCTAAAATCTGACAATAACACTTTAAGTAAGAGTACACATAACTAATGTAGCAATGTATTTTAAAGGTGTGTTGATGCAAATGAACAAACACTTTCAATGCCGTGTTTGACTATAGACTTCAAAAACCCTCCATGTGGTATTTTGACTAAAACCAGCAGAAAATACTTGCAAATGTTACTGAAAATACACCTTTATATGTTCAAAAACAAGAGAAAACTCACATGAATAACTAGAAACTGCTACAATTGATCTAATTTGATGTGTACAGTAATTATTCAAGATTCATTTCCCACTGGAAATGTTATAATGCAGTATTTACAATGCAACTAATTACTTTGTGACAGATTAAGTTATCAATGATAACAATCATCAGACAGTTTCTAATTCATTACAAGAATAGAATAGCTGTTGTTATTATTAGTAGTGTGTTTCTGTGATGTTCCGTTAAAATTAAAGCATTAAATCTCCAATTTACAGATCTTTAGGCCTAAAAAAACTTGGTACAGTTAAAAGTTATTTCTTTAATAAAACTGTCAACAAAGAGGGTAAACTACCCTTCGACCTGCTGAGCACCTGTGCAGAACGCCCTATTTGGCCACGCCCCTTACACGTTAGACGTCTGTCACCTGCTACAACTGTTTCTAATTTCACTAATTATTAAAACGCTTTCTCATTCTGAGTAATAACACAAAACATATACGGCATTCCGCTTTAATTGGACTGTTATTCATTTTAGGTAGGAGAAAATCTAACTACTGTGTTTCGGATACTGGCAAAACCTAGCGTGCTAAAAAAAAGCCATTTTACTGTACAGTACATGCCGAAAACATCAATAATCTTCAAATTGTGTACTTTCGGTACGTTAGCTGATTGAAATACTGAGCACAAGCGTGTCGTGACACAGTACTGATGTAAGGCAACTTGAGCAGCAAGCTAGCTGGTCTCTACAACAACCGCCATTTTGTAGCTTTTGCATTTGACATCGCCATAACAACGGCCTGCTGCTTGCCTATGCATCTGTGGCTGCGTCGTCATGGCAGGCGAGACTCTGTCATTCCATTGAGACTGTGTACACAATCACCCCCGCATTCACGAAACGCAGCTAACGTATTTTCAGACCAACGGCTAACGTTAGACTAGCCTCGCTAGGAGGCAGTAGCTTGTGTTATGATATGGCCACTGAAACAACAAGGAAAACACAGCACAATTCATTCAGGCGTTACAGAATAAAAATGTTGTACGTACCTAAAGCTTCACCTCTGGTTTCTCGTGTAAATCCTCCCTCTGATAAATTGTCTTTTTAAATTTTTATTTTTATGGCGGATTCTGTTGTTGTTGTTGATTCTCGTTGCTGGGTTCTGGTCGCCAGGGCTACCGTGGCTATGGCGCTTCGTCCTCACCAGGGCAACTGTTGCTACCCACCCGCTCCCTTTCCTCCCCCTTCCTCACTCTGATTGGCTGAGGGCTGCCGAATTCTCTTAAAGTGACAGTGTCCCTACAATTATTTTACTACAAAGCCTTCCACACCCATTTATATGTTCACTAGGATGGCGAATGCTGGATCAAGTAGAACAACAGAGCAGGCTTGTTACAAGTCTTTTTTGTAAATGAGTCCTCGTGACTCAATGAGACTAACCTGTATAAAACTGGTTGAATGAATGAATGAATATTACTGGGAGTATGTTTACTGTTTAAAGCTTATTTTAGAGTCATTTCATACACTTGTTATTTTAATCCCATACAAGGCCTTGGGTCAAAATTAGGTCAGTTTTAATAATGGGGCCTGGGTTATTTTGATCCAAGGGCAGTAAGAGGGTTAAGCAAGTCTGTTTCATCTAAACATGCTAAAACTATATTCAGAGATTAATGTCATTCACATCACATGTGGTACATGTGGTGGAACGAAATTATGTACACAGGGTCCCAGTTACATCCAACAATAAAATGTAAAACAAAAACAGTAATTAGTTCTAAGATGCAACTAAAAAAAACATCTGCTAAAAATATGTTATGCACTAATAGCATAAAAACAATAAACACAATACGCCGAACAGCAGCACGAACATGAGTGTGTGTGAGTAGATGAGCGTAAATGAACATAGCAACATGAAACAGATCAGCAGCAACATAATGTGATTTTTCACAGTGATTATCTGGTTAGATGTTCATGAGTCTAACAATCTCAGGGTAGAAGCTGTTCCTCAGTCTAGTGGTTCTACATATAATGCATCTCAACCTCCTTCCTGAAAGGAGCAGGGCAAAAGGTGTGTATGCTGGGTGAGTGGGGTCCTTCATGATGCAGGTGGCCTTCTTCCTGCATCTGGAGATGTAGATGTCTGTGATGGTGGGGAGGCTGACTCCAACAGACTTCTGTGCAGCCTTCACCACTCTCTGCAAAGCTTTTCTAATTCTAATCTGTCCGATTCTGTTTTGGTTATTTGATAAATACAGTATTTAAAAATGCAATTCACCAGGTTCCCCATCTCCTGCATTTCCTTGATTTATAATGCTTTTTATTTATAATGGATAACATAGATTTATAATGAAAATGTTGTAAACATACTCTTGCTTTTTATAGCAAATAAATGTTTCTGTATGTCTGTAATACATCTTGTTTCAATTCCAGCATTGCAATAGCGCTCAGTTAACAAGTCAGCACTTAATAGATAAAAGGATTTCCAATTATCTCTACATGGCAGTGTGTTAATGAGTGTCAGGGTGACCACGCTCCCAAAATGCCATTTTGTTTGCTTTTCATCATTGCATTAATTACAGATTCACCATCTCCATTGTAATTGTCTAAATGAGCAACCTTTGACTGTGTGGCTGCAGATAAAAATGTGTTTTATATCTTACTGACTCATAATAGGACCTCGGTGTTATCTGTTTTTGAAAATGTCACTGGACCTGTCTCAGGCCTTTTTTTCACCTTTTGGCAAAGGGCTAACCGAAAAGACAATTAGCAGAAAATGAAACCCATGCAATCAGGTGAGAATTAAAGATGGTAAAACCCATGTAGTAGAGAATCTTATCAGGGTAAACACTGTCAACACAAAGTCTAACATATTCAGTGTTTAAGCTAAGTTGTGCTGTAAACAAATTTACATGATTTCTGTCTCCAGGATACACTAAATTCCTTTCTTTAGTAAACAGAAATATCAATTTATTGCACATTGGTGTCTATGGTGTTAAATCAAATTTTGAACTATTTTGAAAAAAAAAAGAAAATATTAATATTTCTTTTGTAT